ATATAAAAACCAGAGGTTCCCTCACAGCACACTTAATGGCACATGCACATCGTCATTAACACGGTTGGTAGATAAAAATAGGAAGTTAAATTTCATTTCATATATTATTGTAAATTGTTCATAGTCGTGTTTGGCATTTTAATAAAATATTTGTCCTCGGTGACAATTCATTTTAATAAATTTATTGTTATTCCCGCTAACAGTTTATCAAGTTTTATGCCCTGTATAACGATAAAGCAGACAGCAGATGGGTATATTGAGTTATAAATATTTCTCATCTTATCAAATCAACATGTGGTCATACCGCTATTCATCGCAATGTGCTAGTGAGAAAAAAACGTCTACCAGTTGCATTCCTCATCACTACATTTATATACCCTTTTACAATAGTTATCAGTCAGGTCAGAGCAGTGCGATACTTTTTATAAGTCAGGAAACAAAAATATACCCTGGGTTCAGCCAGGGTTCAAGCTTTTGATAACCTACTTTACGAATATTTTGATCATAAATCATGAGTTTATGGAGAGTAGAGTAATACCATGCCATATTATAAACAATTACTGACCATATCTACATATTAAATACCAGAAAAAATGGAGACCTTATGCGATATGTACCTTTCTTGAAAGGATTTGACACTTTCTTCACCCCGATATATAAATACCTTTCATAACTTGAGAAATAGTCGAACGTTTATTGGAATGAACATTTAAGCCTATAAGTATAAACTAGTTTATTATTCATATTGTTAAAATCCTTTCTGTTTAAATTGAGTCGTTCATGTAAAGCAATTGTCTTTGCCAATGTTGTATGAAATCATTTTTTTTATAAGGAGTCCATGTAAAGCGATTGTCTCTGCCACGGTTGTATAAATTGAGTCGTTCATTGTCTTTGGTAATGTTTATGATCTCTTTTTTTAAATTTAGCCGTTCATTGTAAAGCAATTGTCTTTGCTAATGTTGTATGAAACCTTTTTGTTTTTAAATTGAGCCGTCCATGTAAAACAATTGTAAAAGAAGAAGAAGACGTGTTTATTAAAGTGTAACACGGTGTACATAATTCAGTTAAAAACGTAATTAAAGAGAACACCGCCCAGCCATAATGGCCTATGACACTGGATATATCTATATATTTCTAAAATACAGATTAATATTAGATAAAACATCATATTATAAAAAAGTATCATATATCTTTTAAAACGGGATCTCCTTTGAAACATGTCAAATATATATATAGAGAGAAATGGGGTTTAACGTCCACTCGACACAAACTAGGTCATTTCGGGACTAACACATGGTTCAATTTTATTTCAATAATTCGCTTGCGGTTAGGGGTCTTTAGCTGTGGGAGGAAACCGGAGGACCCGGAGAAAACCCACGAGGTTGGACAGGCGACCCTACTCCTTGTCACGTACAACCGGGGAATCGAAACCCCGCCAGTTGACTCAATGACAGACCGTATGATAAAATTGCATATCATACTGGGGTTGTTATCACTAGAAAAATACAAATAACGTTCTCTTGTACAGACATTTTATAGAAATTTACATCTGATGCATTTCTCAAAAAGGTCCAGAACGAAGGTCGGAGTACATTTTGCATTCTATTAAAAATAGAGCAGAAGGGACATAAGCAACAAATGTTGTATGGTTTCAGACTAGCAATTATTTGCCCATTGACTTCAATGTTAAATGGCTGTAACATCACAGGCTGTAGCTTTTTTTCTCAACATTCTGTTGGTTCCAATCTTTATAGGCACAACGGAGACAACATTTGGCAATCTCCTCATCATAATTTTGTAGGGGGTTGACCATGTAGATTTTTTGCTACACGGATTTGAAGTTGACTGGGGTGAAAATCTCACTTCCGACACAATGATTGCTCTGCAGAAAGACACTTTACACCCCCTATCCCTCCGCTGTATTATCATCAGTATTACCCAAAATCCATAGTGATAAGTAGGCTGTTAAGATGAATGAAACGTATACCATCAGGATTCTACAAAATGCACGATCACGGACCAATAACCAAAGCTCTGGAAATTGAAGATCTGATTGGTCTTTTTAAATCTAATATTCGATGTATAGTCACTTTTTAATGTGCCGTGTAAAACGCAGATATTAATTATTCCAAATATGTCTAAAAAAAGAAAAAAATGTTAGAAAGGCTTACTCCATGGCCTGTAATTAACTGCTATCATTTAAATTGCTGAAATATGGATATTTCCCACTTACTTGTCCGTCTGCATTTCACAATTTTGATCGGAAAAACATGTTTGTGTCGGATTTCGTTGCAGATGTATTTAGTCCGAACCCGTGTTTCAGTTTTGTCATTTTTACCGTCAAAAGGTATAATTTGAAATATACGCTGGACTAACCTTTTTTTACGCACTATTTGAATAGACATGTATGGGTGACGTTTCGTGGGGTTGGATGACCGAATCGTTAGAACGTGCGCATTGTATCATAAGGTCTGTCATTGAGTTAATTGTACGTGACAAGGAGTAGGGTCGCCCCACCCTCCTATTCACAGCTTCTAGATCGGTTGTTTTCGTTGACTTCGGACTCTCAGATCACCAGCTGAGCAGGAATGATGACGATGTGAGTGAAAAACGCTACCTGGCTGTACTGTACACGTACGTCACTATACCGATAGTCTAGCGCCATGGATCAAGAGCGGGCGAAGAAGCAACCTACACCCAACGTGCAAAATGTTTTCACAGCGTATGTTTTACCTTTACATAGCGTATTGATCACTACTTTGTCACACGCTTAAATTTTTGACATTTTCCCCAGAACCCCAGCGTAGCCCTGCAAAGCCCGACGAACAGCTAACGAATTCAACTTATGCCAAACGTTTCACGAACGAATGGCAACTTCCTTGAACGTACACCCAAAATTGTAAACACGTCATGCACAAGTTAGTTCCATTCACAACAGTGTGACAGGGGCTTAACATATAGCGTGAAGCTTAGTCGTCTGTTTTCGGCAACGCGGTGAACAAAGGTAGAGAACGTTAAAATACGTTCAAATTCCCAACACGAATCTGACGACAGATTTAAGACGAATGACCAACGGATGAGGAACTAATATTGAGCCTATGACGAATGCCTAATGTATGCTTAGCGTACTGAAGCCGGTCACATGGCGTGTCTCCGCTGATCCATATACGTTCGCCAAGTCTCCGTGGTCAAACTTCACCGAGATACCCCATCCAGAGGTCCAGTTCCAGCATGTCGCCCAAGAATCAGCATGGCAATAAAGGGAAGATACAGTCGGTTAAGAAACAGTCAACCAAGCCAACCAAGCCAAAACTGCACTACCACCCAAGGCTGTATCACCTTCATGTACCCCTGTCCAAATTTTCCGGCGACGGACTCCAGATTCACCCAGATATGCAACCCCTTCATTACCTCATGACACCGGTGTCTCTGACCATGCGTCCGACCACAGTTTCCCAAACCAAAGTGGCAGAGAAGGATGTCAGACTTCCCTCATCGCCTCCAATTTCTCTCAGAAAACTAGTGAGTAAAAACCGTTATAGTCGTTTCTGGTAGAAACGATCAACAATCTGACCCTTACGATATCACCCTCGGTGGAAGCGGACGTTAAGCCCAGCGAACGAACGAACAGATCTCACGTCATTCAACGAGGTACGTCATGACCGCACCCATGTACTCGTTGACTATGGCTTGACAGATCTCACTGGCATTGAAAAATATCGGGGACCTTCCATCGAAACTTCCTGTCCGAATGGTTGGTACTGAACGCAAGGTGACAGAGAGTCACGATGAGCTTTAGACCAGGCGTCAGGAGCTCACGTATTCACGTGTACTTCTTGGTGATTCTGTGGCAGATTCTCCAGGAGATCTCATCATACTAAGGTTATGTAGACCTCGGGGCGGAGCTCGACGATTTGCCTCTGAATTCAGACGCTGTTTCGTTTCGACCTGTCGCGTCTTCTTCTTCTTCCTCGGATGTACTAACCGATGTCAAGCTGGGTTTCATTTAGGTGGGGGTCGGGGTTTCGGGACGCAGACAACATATAGACGCATATAGATATAGGAATGAAGTGGTGCCAAAACTGCGGCAATGTTTCGAACGTCTGTATGTTCGACGTTATTTCGATGAATGTAGGAGAAGCAGATTGGTGGAGATAATTTGGGAAAAACAAAACCTTTGTATGTCCTTTCCCAGTCACCGTATATTTATCTCGAGGGCTTGTCTTAAATATCTTATGGGCGCAAATTAAATATCTCGAGTGCTCGACTTAACTACCTCGAGCGTTCGAGAATTAGTTATTCGGCATGTCCTAAATCAGCCACAGTATTAAATAAAGTTATACATACGCAAATCTGTGTTAGCCACAGGCTAATGTTGTCAGGGCCGAAGTAAAGCATGTGCGCTAGGGGTTGCAGTCCATCGAGGGCCCACAGAGATTAAGATTATACTGTTTCATTTGTGAATGCTAAATAAATGTACCGATTTAAATGTATCTATTTAAAATGCGATCAAATCAATATACATTTGTAGTAAACATACATGAAATGATATGAAACGGGGCTTAAGATAATCTCATCTGCTCCGACTAGACGGCAAAAAGAAACGCTGTACTGTTTACATATGTGTGTAAAACATTTCCTGTTACCGTGAGGACCTGTACCTTAGGAGCATACAGATCTTGATCCAATGTTATTGCAAACAGTGAATGGTGAGAGCAATGTTCTGTGTTTAAGCTTACATTCATTCACCAAGTTTATTTATTTTAGTGAAGTGATTTAACTTGCAAGTTACTGTATTGTGATGCCTTGAGATCCTGTGTTCAATTAGTATTGGTCTTGATTTTATACACCATGGCGAAATGAGGAACTTTGGAAAAAATATTCTTCCGAATCGACAAATATGATTAGAATGTCACACACCGTCCATGATAAAACAACACTTTTTACAAAGTGGCGAATTGGTGCGAATTCTGAGAAATTACATAAATAAGAAAGAACAATTTTAGACGACAAAAATATTTTATTTGCATGACAAAGAAAAGTTACATTTATACTTTGTTACATTTTCTTCCTTCATGGTATGTGTCGAGGTAGTTGACTATATTGAACCAAAAGTTCACAATTGTTATTTAACTCCAGAAAATATTCCTCGACTAAAGTGTCTACATGTATCTAAATATATAGAAGAAAAATAAGTAATCAAAAGTAAAAGTTTGAATGAATGATATGAAACTTCCTTGTGATTTGTTGTAGTTTAAGATAAATATTTATGCGTGCACTACAGAAAAGTGGAACCATAAAAATTCCGCTTCTGGAATGGCGTTCAATAATGTGGATTGTCCAAAACGATTATTAGAGAAGGACTAAAAATAGCAAGTTTTGTGTACATCTGTCTCTACCTTCGAGATAGATAAAATTAAAATAAATTAAATGCCATCAAGGAAGGATAGTGTCTGCGATATCACACCGGTGGAAGCGGACGTAAGATATCACTTTTTACCACAAAAGCTAAATTTAAAATTTCAATATATTTATCTGGGACTTTGTCCATCTACTTAATCCTAAGCGTAAAAAAATAATTTAGTCCACATTAAAATGTATTGACCTATACAAACATAGAACGCCATTCGTGAATCATTAAACAAATTCTCTACGTTTTTTTGCAGTGGTTGTCTAGCTAATTATACGTAATACATAACTATATATTAATTCTAACACGATCTATATAATGAAATGACAGGAGTCTTACATATCCACGAATGTTAATCATACAAAATGTCAGCAGATGAAAGGTGCAAATATAAAATGCTTTTAATTAAAGACACAAATATACATTGGTGTTTGTAAAAAGACTACAGCAGAAAATGGCGACATAAGTATGTTATTTATATTGAATAAAACGTGCTACATTCTTTTTTTTAAACTGAATAAATTACCATAATCTTGTCGTGGGTTTTAATAGAACGGAATTGACAAAAGTCTAATCTTAATATAAAATCTGAATTTATGAATATTACATTTTAAAAGAGTTAGTTGTTACATAATAAAACATTTCATTCAAAACGAAACACAACTTAACAACACGTTTTCAATACAAATTCAAACATATTTGGTACCAGTTTTAGGTAGTCAATATCAAGTGATTTAAAATCGAAATCCACAAAATCAAACAAATTAGCACTTATAAAATCAAAATGTAAAATTGGTGTTGATTTTGTTTTAAAATCTTAACACAACAAGCACTATATACTCAACTATAACATATCACAAGAATGTTGATTTAACAAAAGCACTTAAACGTTGAAGATGGCACGTCACCATTAACATGGACAATCAAAATAACGAAACAAGCAAAGTGCATCATTCTTAATAAATAAATCTTAAAATCAATCGTCAGATGGCACAACAATTCTTAGTATTTATCAAACCTATGAAAACAAAATAATAAAGTTTGTTAAATATTCCTTTCCAGATAAGAATTAAAACCAGTTAGTGGGTTAGGGGATTATGGGGTACAGGTCATTGAAAAGTGCAATATGAATTTTACAAAAGAAACACTAGAAAAAAAAAACAGGCGCTAATTATTTTAGCATTATTTTTGTTGACTTAATTCATTTTATGCACCAAAAAAGCCAGTAAGTCCACAATTAAGGAGACAAGTCTTCTGACAGAAAACCAGAACATTATTCTTAATAAAACAAACATTCTTAAATCTATCAATAAATCATTCTTAAATTTTAAAGTATGGAATAAACGAATATAACGTCATATTCCTAGGGCCCAAAGCCTTGATCAATTATCAACAGAATAATTCTCTACATAACATGAAAGTGCTAAAAACAATACAAGTGCTGTGAGGTTTGAAGTATATTTATGTTATTTTAACCATAAAATTATATATGCAGTTCATACTGTCCTGAGAGACTTCATCAAAAGTTCGTTAACAAAACATTATTATTTATAAAAACGATCAATTAGAAATTATGTAGAGATAAAACCAAGTATATTGTCATTAGAACGGTTATAAGTTGGCTGTTGGGTTTTGTATATGAATTCACTCAAATATATATAAAATCTTCTTGTATTTCCTAATGCCCATTTTGTATAAACATTTTTAGAACATAAAATATCATTGACAGCTGCAACATTAGCAGTCTTATAACCCAGTTATCGTTCCATATATTACAATATACGAATACAGTTTTATGTATATCTTTGTGTATGCATTTCTGCAATTGTAGGTGCTCTGAAATTAGTAAACTTCGGCTGATCTCTTCTATTTATCTAGAATATGATCGCGATACCCATATTTAACACACAAAACCTTATAATCACATCTTATCAGACAATTTAATGATGTGATCATCCCGTATTTAATTGTGTACAGTTATAAGAACACTTTAATTGACAGGCCTGTCATTTTATCTGTAATAAAGTTTGACGCTGAGGTAGATAAAGTATATATATATATATAGAGCGCAATATTTACAATAATTAACATTTAATAATAATTGTTAATTCATTAACATTTTTACGCCATCCCTTTATCAAAATACCAAACCCACTTAATATGTTATTTCTGTTTGTTTTTTTTTTTCAAATTCAACAGTTGCTAATAAGTATGACATTTGTCAAGATAATATTTTGTATCATACTCGTAATTAACGTTCTGTTAGTTATCCTGACGCATTTCTTTGAAACTACATTATTTTTTTTTCATTTTCTTAAGTGTTTCATTTTAAACAATCTCAAATAATTGATGGTATAGAACATTCTAAATGCTAACCATTTATTTTTTATGAGCCTGTATTCTCTAATATAAAAGTTAACACGACAGTATAGCTAATCAGTGATATAATAACCAATTAAAATGACGCCAATAAAGGATCTAGATGGTAGAATGGAGCAATTAACTTATATAAGTCTTAGTATGTAAATACATATATATATAGATATATATGTCTCTAAACTACTAAACACAAAGATTGATGACGTAATAGAAGTGTCAACATCGACACCAATGTGAACAATAAAATATGTAAATAAGTTCTCTTTTCTTAAATATTTCTAAAAACCTGAGCGTTTTCTCTTTAGGAATAATAATTATATAATATGTAATGGCAATATAGGTATGTATATGCATCAGTCATTACAAAATTATATATGTACATCCACAGTGTGCTAATATATATATATATATATATAAATATATATATTCCAATGTGAATACCTGATTTGTTGGGAATTATGTTCGAATTTTACCCGTTGAGTTGAAACTGCCTGAGACTATCGTACCTGAATCAACCGGGACAATATACTGCATTGTCCATCTCACAGTTTCCTTCATAAATATGGATTAAATGGGGGTGGTACTTTGTTTTAAAACAGTTTCAGTCTTCTACACAAATATACAAAGCACATTTTATCTTGAATAGGCACACACCCAAAATTCGATATATCGATATTCATTAATTCGTAATGAATCCTCAAGAATCCACACTGTAAAACATCATTAAGTGCTACATGCAATTTGCAATTAGCAGATTATGGAAATTAACAGGAACAAACATAGTCCTTTTTAGAGACGATGGGGATCTGAAAAAGTATGCAAAGTCTATTTCATGTTGCATGTGGGTCCTAATAATAATATTTACGGGTTTCAACTTTTCGCTGTATTTGAAATGACAGTAAATTAAAAAAAAACAATAGCATTGAAATCACGAGCTTTCCGAGTAGTCATCTAGCTGTTTGACCTCAACTCTGACTTCTTCCCCAAGCTCCATTGTAGAAGATGCCGCCATCTTCTCATCCATCTCTCGTTCAGTTAGACCTTGCTCCAGTCTTTTCTTCTCCATTAGTTCTCTCAGCTGCTTCATCTCCTCCTGAAGGCTATCTAATTCATCTTTCAGCTTACCATTCTCTTGTTGCAGATAGTCCGATTTGGCTTCTCGCATGTTGGTTACATATTTTCGGTTTTCGCGACATTTTCTGGCCGCCTCGTTGTTACGACGTCGCCGTTCGATGTACTTTGGATCTATATGCTTCGGATTACCAGATTTGTCTTTTCTACTGGATCGAGTAAAGCCATCCATGGATTGTGGAGGTAGGTCTGAATTTTTCCTGGAGAGAGGTAAAGGGTTGGCTTGTGCTAAGGCGATCTCTGATAACTGAGCAAGACCATTAACATAAGGTCTGGTGGGAAACGGGGCTGATGGATCAAGAGGTGAATAATATTCCTGAGTTGGCAATTTATGTCGAAGTTTTAAGGGTAATGATGATGCGTGTGAACTTTGTGATTCCTTTTTATCTGAAGAACGATCTATGCTTTCAGCAGTGTCTCTGCGAACTGTTAGTTGCAGAGGTTGGTCAGCATATTCATCCGAACCATAGCTGTTACTGTTACTTGGAGATCCTTGCCAACTATCGCTAGAATAGCCTTGGTTTAAGTGATGTTGGCTGTAATAATCCGAAGGTGGTCGAATATCGCTTTCTAAAGCTATGGATAAAGGCGGTGGAGACTTACTGTCATCCCGTTCCTCTTTCACTTTCACGTCTTGATAGCCCGAGGAGAAGCTGTTGGTTCTTGGTGGTGTGTAGTTTGAGCTGTTGGACCCATTAGAATCATGATTATTTCTTAACGTAGTTTCAGAGCCAGACATGTTGAGGTAGTATGGATACTGAGCGCCATTGGGTGGGTATATACCCTGAACTGGAACAGCCATGGCACCTGTAACTGCAAGAAGTGGTGGGGGAGATGAATATGGAACTCCTTTATTGGTCGTATGTGAAGGTTTTGATGGCACCATGGATGATGAGTTTGAATATTGTATATTGGGTGAAGATGAGCTTGGTATAGATGTGGATCCCACTTGCTGTGTGTCATCGTCCGGGTCTTTGAACGGTTGTTCAAGAGGTAGATTAAATTTTCTTTTAATAGCAGACAGCTCATTTCTTAGAAGGCAGTTATCCTTTGAGAGATCATGTATTCTACCTTCTAACACCATATCATGATAACGGCGTTTTTCGCGAGAGCGTCGGGCAGCGTCGTTATTTTTGCGCCGTTTTTCCCAATAATGTTCATCTTTATAAGTATCATTTATAAATTCCCGCTGCTTCCGTGACGGAATACAATGTCTGTTGTCAGTGCTCGGACTAGCACTTTGTAAATTCGGTGTATTAATTGTCTCTTTGGCTTTGTTAGCCTCTGCCAAATGCATACTTAAATATTGTCTGACAGATTGGTCATTCATCCTGGAAACTGTATTGGCATCTAAATTACTTGAATTATTTGAGGTATTCAATCGAGGTAGCTTTAATTGTGGTTCGCCTTCTGATAACATCATAACTCCCAACTCATACAGCTGGCGGGAGCCAAGATAGGAACCAAATCTGAAAAACACAAGACATAAATATAAGCAATTATGATATTTGAATAAATTTGTTTAATTTTATGCCCCACTTATTTTATAAACAGTAATATTCTGAAACATGATTTGCGAATATGGAACCTGGCATTTCCCTAATAGGGGTTTAACGTCCACTCGACACAAACTAAGTCATTTCGGGATTCACATATGGTTTAATTTTATTTCAATAATTCGCTTGCGCGTAGGGGTCTTTAGCAGTGGGAGGAAACCGGAGGACCCGGAGAAAACCCACGAGGTTGGACAGGCGACCCTACTCCTTGTCACGTACAACCGGGGATTCGAAACCACGCCAGTCGGCTCAATGACAGACTTTATGATACAGCGCGCGCACGCTAACCATTCAGCAGCCACCCCACCCCCCCCCCCCCACAAAACCTATAGTACTATAGTAATTCATATTGAAAACTCGATCAAATCGCTTGCAGATCATTAATACTTGACGGAGATCAATCACAATCTAGTTCACGGAGTTTAAAATGTAATCTTTATGGTATACACGCACTTATGTATATTACATAAGGCAACACCTATCGTAAAAAATGAACATAAAACAAAAAGTAACTAAAAAGAAATGTCAAACCCAATCTAGTTCACGGAGTTCAAAGTGTAATCTGTATGGTATACACGCAATTATATTACATAAGGCAACACCTATCGCAAAAAAAAAAGAAAAAAAAAAACAAAAAAAAAAAACAAAAAAAAAAAGAAATGTCAAAAGCAATGTCAAAAACAAAAAGTAACTAAAAAGAAATGTCAAAAGCAAATTTACAACATATTTTGAGTCAACATAAACCATTAAATTGTACATTATATTTTATGACAAAAGCATATGCACCTGTATTCATTAATCATATTTTTTTTTAAAAAAAACCTATGAAAGTGTTATTTGTGAAATATGAAAATCAAGAATGAACCAGTTTATTAACATATGTCAAATGCGTCAAATGCATAAATTTGGCGATAAAAGCTTGTCACTACAACACAACAAATAGCCTACAAACATTGGATAATCGGGTCGTTCATTTCCTAACATAAAGTTGTCACAAAGCATTACTGTTCTTTTAAACTCGCGCTGTCCCTCCAGGGAGAGATATATTTAACGTCCACTCTATACAATCTTTTAATCCAACTCCGTCTCTTCAGTGAGAGAGAACGAGCGAAATGGGGTTTAACGTCCACTCGACACAAACTAGGTCATTTCGAGACTAACACGCGGTTCAACTTTTTTTCAATACTTCGCTTGCGCGTAGAGGTCTTTAGCAGTGGGAGGAAACCGGAGGACCCGGAGAAAACCCACGAGGTTGGATAGGCGACAACTGGGGAATCGAACTCACACCTGTTGGTTCAATGATACAGCACACACGTGCTAACCATTCGGTCATCCAACCCCCCTGTCTCTTCAGGGAGAGAGGGATTTAACGTCCACTCCATATAACCTAGATCGTTAATATTATTTACAATTCAGACTGATCTTATACAGCAACATATAAATAAACCTTGACTAATTGCGTTATAGGTCAAAGTTGTTTGCGATACTAATACTGCATTTGTAACGCTTCGTTTATTTCTTATACATATAATACACATAGTAGATGTATTATTACTGTAACGAAAGATACGCCCACAGCAGCTACGTCATCCTAAAGGTCAACAAGTGTTGTTGCATATTATGTGTTTGGAAGGTAATGGGAGCATTTAAAAGAAAATAAACATCTGATCAAGTCTAAAAACCCATTAAGAAATTATCAAAAAATAATTATAATATGATTGGTTTCTAGCTCTTCAGATGCTAACATTTATAAAACAAAACATGTATTGAAAATCGTTGAAACTCGTTAGGCTTCATAACCTGCCTATAAAAACAAAGGCAGGTCCTGCGCAAAATGTGTCTGTTGAGATTTATAAATATTATTCCAGATCAATATATTTTAATTTATCAAAACGCGAAAATCAGCTTACTCATTTTTCCCTGACCCCCCCCCCCCACCTCCCCTCAGCAGCTAATTTGTCCGGGTGGTCAACAAGGTTGTCGCATATTTATTCCTTTTTATGTCGTGGTTGCATTTAAAAGACAATTTCATACAGATCAAAGAGAGAGGGAGAGAAATGGGGTTTAACGACCACTCGACACAACTAGGTCATTTCGGGACTAACATATGGTTTTATTTTATTTCAATAATTCGCTTGCGCATAGGGGTCTTTAGCAGTGGGAGGAAACCGGAGGACCCGGAGAAAACCCACGAGGTTGGACAGGCGATCATACAGATCAAATTATAATTTTCGTCCTTTGAGGGTTCACAAGATTCTACAAACTTGAACAAGGACCTTAACTCTAGAAGTAATTTACAGAAATTGTTGAAATTCGACAGGCTTCTTCGTTTCACTAATTTAAATGATGCATACAAATTTCAGTGATCGGATGATAACTTTTGTTCAACAAAGTGAAACAAGGGCCATAACTCTTAGACGTAATTAACGGATTGCTGAAGTTTAGTAGGATTCTTTATCTCACTAATTTAAACATGCACCAGTTTTAAAACAATCAGATGATAAATGTAGTATGTAGCGTGTTCCCAAGAACGAACGGACGGGGGGGGACACAACAATATACAACCACATTTCCATGTGGGCTTAAAAGAAACGTCTTCTATTTTGCATTTTGGGCGACTCGAGGCCCCTCTATCTTCATGTCCGTTTCGCTCAACTAACTGTGTATAACTGTACCAACTTTGCTCGCTTGAACAAAGGTACACAATACGACCACGTGGTCTTTCAAAATACACAACATAATATATCGACATTACTTGTTTGAACACGCTAGGTTACATAAGTAGGTTAACATTGTAGTGTTATGTAAAAAAAATCAATAGTTATTCATAAAGTACATTTTATTAAAGTGGAAGTCCCCGATTTATATTATCCGATATTGCAGTACAATTATTTGAGTATCGAAGGATCATTTTTGTCGAAACACAAACTACCCGTCTTTAAGTGATATTTGGTAATATGTCCCGGATTAATTTCAAGGGCTGCGATATCCAGGTCTACATATAGTGATGAGTGGTGGCTGTTTTACTAAGTCACTCGTACAACCACGGCCGGCTGAACCAAATTCGTACGCGGGGAGAGGTGGTGGTGCGGGTCTGTTGGCCTAGCGAAGGAGCCAAAATGGGGCCCTAGGGGGTTGTTTCCGGGACATATTTTTTACACTAATATTTTTAGTAATAAACACATATTTGCAAATTCCAACGGCCCTACACATACTGTGCCAATCTGTTTCACAGAGAATTACGAGTCTCGTATAATATCTCTGTCATAGATGACTGCCTTAACACGTGCTGTCACAGCACGCGGTGTGAATCATTGGCTGAATGGCGCGTGCATTGTTTACATAAGACATGACTGCTTCGGAGAGAATGCTGCATTTTAGTCAATTTAATACCCATTTACACTAAATCGGAAATAATTTTTACCTACAAATACGTCAAACGCCTTTATTTATTTTTCCAATATATACAAAAAATGTTTTAGAATTTAATTTGTCGCAGGAAAAAAGTTAATATTTCTAGCTCATTAAGCCGCATCAATGTCATCCTTATCAGTGATTGTCGCGGCCAAGCAAATATTCACTGCGGATCAGTGTGATACTGTGCCGTTCGAACGTCTATATCAATCATGTTCTTCAAAGAAACAGTTAGCTTAGACGTTTAATATTAGCCTTGTAAAGTATTGAGATACTGCGGTTTTTATAAATTCCTGACAATCTATCGTCGTCGAAAAATGGCTCTCATCTCGAAACCCTAGTTGATCGGATGTCTTCCACTTTGAAACAAAAACATACAAATTATTTCTAGAAAAAAAATCTGAATATATTGGAGCAAAGTTAATTTTGAAGAAGCTTTCTATAAAACAAATATTTTACGTTAGACGCTAAAACACTAAAAGCCCGGATGTCCATAACCGAATGATGACCTTTGTCTATGTAATTTACCTTATACAAAAGACGTGACAACGAAGCGGAGCATTTAGAAAACCAGCCTTACAGATCATCGAACAACCGGTGGTCTGGTTGTCACTGATTATATGTACATGTCTTACACGTAGCCTTGGTCAATTTACAATACAAAACATACAATAGAATAATATAAACTTTTATAGATTTCTGTAATAATGACCCGGCATTGCTAATGGACTCTCGTGGCCAGGCGTTTACAGGCCTCAATAATCATAAGAAAAGCCGCAAAGTCCACAACTCATAAACACAAATCACAGCTTCGTTAAAACCCAATATGTCCTTCGAACTCTAAAATCCTTAAAGAACAAAACCTATGACTAGTCAATGCCAAGAATATATTTGATCGAATATGTATAAAGCTAAAGGCTTTTACAATGACAACTGTCTTTGGGATAACAATAGGAGCGAATACTAATGTGACTCGATAAATAAGAAGAAAAAAACCCTGTTTAATCATAATAACATGTTTTAAAGAAAATAGCTTCCTGGAAATGTATTATTTATCGACCAAAATATTACAGATATTTTCCTTAGCTTATTAACAAGGATCCCGATGGTCTGGCTATTTTAATTCATTATCGCCAAACAAGCAAAACCAAGAGCTTAGACCTTAAGATTAAACTCCATAAAGGTGGTTCTTTATTATGTTTTTTAAATTCATATCATGCGCAGTAGCTGAGAAATATCTTGAAATCAATAAGGTTGTTTTTCATCTTAACCTGCTTCCTCCTATCCAGGTTAAAAATAGAAGAGGTTTATTGCGCAGTACACTTATCATTTAAGTTTTTTATAGTCTATGTTCAAGGAAATTTCAGTTTAAGGATATGCCGGTAATGACATTCATCTGGCACTATTAAATCCCCTTTTAAAATAAACAGGCTTGGCTGTTATATTGCATCATGTTTGTATTGCCATTGGTAAGGCAATGTAAATATTATTGCCTTCCAGAGCTGTTCCATAAATAGCTTCATGCAGAATCAAACCTGGTCGTATCACCTTTAAGCGACGATCTGGGATAAATAAATGAATATTGTTTTGTAATAATATATCATTATATACAAACGCCACACCTGTTTACTAAACAAAAGAAATACATTAATACATTTTTATTTCTTTTTATTCAGTCATCTGTAAAAAAAAACCAAAACAATTCAGTCATCACTAAACAAATTAACTATCAGTTATTCATTTTATCCGGTTTTAAATGAAATGCATAATGGTCGAATTGCCGAGAGATTGTGACTCGCACATCCTGGAAAAGAGTATGGAGTATATTATACAAATTAATGGGTTTTTAATACTTTTTCATTCCACTCTAATTAATAGTCTTACCTTCCCAAACGGCTCATGCCACGTGTTTATTTCAGGATATTCAAATAGTAGTTATAATAATTTCTATCTATACGCTTGTGTAGAATTTGAATATAGCTTTGCGGTTATTTACAAACTCACACTTCTATCATCCCCCGTAATGCAACAAACAAGAATGCAAGGAAATCAGTATCTGATATGTCTAAACATTCAAAGGAAATACATTAAAGCTTAACTTTCTTAAATAAGAGGTCGGGTTGTGAATTATTATTTATTGCAGTTTGACTTTGTAGAGAGTATTGAATGATTTTTCCTTCTATGTTCTAAAGTAGACCGGGGCTCTTTAAAGGTGTAGGCATGTGTTAACACAGGTTGTAACGGTATAACCCGCTGTGTCAATTTGATTGATATGTTTTTTAGACCCGCTTGTTTACTCTATTCTTATGACTGAAATGCTGTCACTTGGCAACATGTGGCATGGCAGAATTTAACGAATAGACATTTCATAATAGTACAATACATATTGTTAATACTTATCGATAATAATAATACAGCGCCCTTTTTATACACGCGTGTTAGAATTCAATGTATAAAATTTAGTCACACACCAGAATTTCATTCAAAAAATAAAACTTGATAAAAAATATGGAACAAAATATATATATTCCCAATTGGTCATAAGGATGGTCACACTCGGCTGATAACATTAGCAAACAAAACGCTCACAAGGCTTTTCAAATTATCAAGGGCCATTACTCTGCAAATACTTACAGTCTCGTGTTTATAAACACTGAGTATATTTTCAGCGTAAGTAGTGCCCACAAGGATGACAACAGTATGCGATTGTATTTAAATGTGGGCGCATGAAAGGAATAAGTTGATTTAATTCTTTCAAATGATATAGTATCACAATACAATATAAATAAAATGAAATATATAGTTTAGGTAAATTTCAAGTTTATTCGAACGTTTATATAATTTTTGTACTTGTATCCCAACGTACTAAGAAGCACAAGCACATGCGAAATGTGATCCATGAGTACTTCGCCACCTGTCCGGACAGTGACCCAAGACCTACGAACATACTTGCAACATATCGTTGCAAATCAGTCAATAACTAAATCTCGTGAAGTAATTACAATAGGCAGAAGGAAACCCATCATACAAAATATTTTTCAAACACTTCACTGTAAAAATGAAAATTTAAAAAAATAAAATGAAAAGATTTAAAGGGCGTATGGCCCTTTTCTCTGGAACCTTAAGACACACGAAAAATGGTTCTAAAAACACACATTTTAATATTAATGTAATATGAATGTATATGAAGTGATTTATATTCGATTTTTAAATTTTTATTGTAATTTATAATGAATTATGTCAGGTGAAATATTTAAACCGTCCAAATTGAACAGCAGTCGTTTCCGCCAGCTTAGTCCAGTTTGTTTTAATTAAATTATTACTTAGTCGTTTTTGAATGATCCATTACTAATTATTTCCATATTTCCTTGTAAAATATGGTTTTCATTGTTTGTTACACATGGCATGCGAAACCATAGAGTACACGACTTGTGTACTGATTTTAAAATGTTCGTTGTGGCTTGATTGAAATGGACAAATATTGATTTCTAATAGTGTTTTAATTTCGAATATTATGGAATATTCAAGCACCTCACTTCATTTAGTGTTTAATCTATCTTTTCTTTTATTAAAGTAATATTATTATTAATATAGTAGTGGTATCGATATCTAATGGATTGTATCCATATGACTGGCATTAAGATATACTTAGTTTCCTTGGCCCTGACTTTGTAAGTATTTTGCAACAAAATAAGCTGAAATATCCTTTAAATTACATTAAACCAAGTACAATAATTATTCCGTTACACAAAACGTGTTATTGGGTATGACGGCAGATGTCGCTTTTTAAGTAGGGTAAGGAACGGCACATATGGCTCAATGAACAAACACAAGTAAAGAAGGTGTGTTAAAGAATTACGATCAATTGCGATAGTTATTACCACGTTCATTACACTACACGGTGGCGTCACATCCTGGCTAAGAAATCGGTCAAATTATATTTGCTACGTAACGTAAGTCGGGTACCAAGGTGTGTGGTAATACCGACATTGGCATTCGCTTGATAAGTAAACTGTTAAAGGCACGGTCATAAGTTTCCTAAACGACTGAAATATATCTTTATAATAGGGTTTTAATTTACATTGCAATATACATGTGGGTAGTTTTGCGTTGTTGTCTTTTAACGGCCGATCTAAACCACAAGATTCAGTTCGATATTGCTCGTGGTTCAAGAAGATTCTTCAACCTGGAGGAACACCGGTTTGGGCTGTATGGTCCATTTCAATAGTTGCGCGTTAAATAGACGTCAAGACCGCTGTCACAATCTGATTAAAATACAGATCTATATTAAGTTTCGTTTTTAAATGAAGATCTGTTCGGTTGTAGTGAAAGGTCGCACCAGGGTCATACGGGTGGCATTTGATTTTACAATTAGCGTTGATGATGTTTCTAGTGGGATACCAACGGTTCCGTGAACCCCTCGCCGCAACAAAACGTTTCATTGCCTAGTCCACATCAACCAGAACGCGGGTTATATAACAACTCTTCCAGATCCTAGTGTAGTCAAGACAAGTAAAAATAAATTTTGAACTATAAAAACGAACGAAATAGGATCTGTGTTTTAATTAGATTGCCACAACCATGATCAAAATTCGCGTACGGCCATAAAACACACAAACAAATTATGTTAGTCTACAAATGGCCGAGTTATGTTTACAACATATTAAACACCGCGCTTCTAAACTGTTCTCAGAGTACAATGACCGAGAATATAATATAAGCCTAATATATTATTTGATAAGTTAATCAAACCACGCGAACCTCTTTAAACACCAAAGAAACGCGATATCAACAACTTGTTTACGTATTCAAGAATGTTTAATACGTAATATGACCAAACGGGATGGTTTTTGTGTGTATTTGAAATATTCAAAAACCACGTGCCATGACAAGCTTAACATGTATTGTACTTTTTCCAACTGTTAAAAATTTCACGCTGTACTGATTGATTTGACCCTTTAAAAATACATTATGTAAGATTTAGATAAAGAATTGCCCGTTCTTGCTATAATTGTTCAAAAATGGATGATGCAAAATGAATATATTGAACATTTTGTTCAAATTACTTTATTCTGAGCCAAGTAATCACTGTTTGGAGTTTTGACAAGATGTGCACATATTGTGTATTATCGTAACCACGGTACTGGTATATTCGAGGCTTCGCTTCGTTTCCCCATATTTAAATTAAATGATTAAACGTTATCGTGAGTTGATTATGGTCTTGCTATGTTAATTAATAACTTAAGGCCTAAAGAAAGATCTGCAATAGGCAAATTTAGCTTCTGAATAATGTATTTTTAATCAGTGTTAAAAGATAAGTAAAGCTAAAGTCTGTACACGTCATTTGACCGAGGAATCCTTTGCTAACTACAATATTTTGGAAATTCAGTTCAACAATGATTTAATTCGTTTCAGTATTTACAAAGATATGATGAATTGAAAATTTGTCAACATTCGGCATTACAAATTGCCGTTATGTATACATTAACATCAACCCTCATCTTAGATTTGATTGAACAAATCATCACTTATGAAGGCTAAATGATTCAGGAATTAGTAATAAGAGAATTTGTACACGCTCGCTTTGTTCCTAATAACTTTAAACTGTCTGAGCAAACGTTGCTCACTGAACGGAGAAACATGTGAAATCAATTCAATCGGGTTTTAAGTCAGGTGAATCGAGCAGAAACTATGTATTGAATGCAGAAGATTCAGATCTTTTAGTTGAAGTATTGATGACATTTCTCTAAAAGTACCGTACTAAAAGATATTTTTGGTGTTTATAAGCAAATTAAGTTAAAATAACATTGATTATGAATATCGGCAAATCGAAAATTGGCAATTGAAACGTGTCGAAAAGTATGTTCGAACAATTAACGTAAAAGAAAATTACTCTAAAGCGTATCGTTATCAAATTTGTATCTGCCTACAAAACAAAAGTCGAAATTTGTAGATAATCATAGAAATTTTAAATAAATAAAAACTACAATACTAAGCATAGTTAAGCATAACAAATAGTATGAATAGTTTTCAGCATATAGTGCAACGCATGTGAGTAGTATAAAGAGTTGCCCGCCTTTAGGTTCAGCATATCGATTTGATTAAATGGTTGTTACTGTTAATTTTCTTTTTTCGACAACTATCAGTTTTATGTGCAACAAACGGTGCAAAGATAAGTAGCCAACAATTTTTTGTAGGTAATGGGGGCATTTACAAGAAAATTTCATACAGATCAGGTTATAATTTTCGTCCTTTGAGGGTTCACACGGTGCTACAAACTGAAACAATGGCCTTAACTCGGGAAATAATGTACAAAAATTGTTGAAATTCGACATTCTTTTTCGTTTTACTAATTTAAATAATGCATATCCATTTCATACAGATATGATGATGAGTTTTGTCGTTCGAGCGTTCACAAGGTTCAACAAGTAAAACAAGGGTCATTACTTTGGAAGTAATTAACAAAAATTGTTGAAATTTGACAGGTTGTTTTCGCTTTACTAATTTAAACAATGCATATACATTTCATACAGATATGATGATGACTGTTGTTGTTCAAGCTTTCACAAGGTTCAACCAAGAAAAACAAGGGCCATAACTCTAGAAGTAATTGACGGAAATGGCTTAAATTGAAAAGGCTTCTTCGTGTCACCAATTTAAATGATGCATATAAATTTCATACCGATCGGATGATCACTAGTGTTGTTCGAGCGTTCAAGGGGTTCAACAAACTGAAACAATGGGAATAACTCTAGATGAAATAATGGAAATTGCTGAAATTTAATAAGATTCTTCGTTTCACTAATTTAAATGATGCATATACATTCCATACAGATTGGATGATAAGTGTCGTTGTTAGAGCGTTCACAAGGTGCAACAAACTGAAACAAGGACCATAAACCCAGAAGAAATTGACGGTATTTGCTGATATTCAATAGGATTCTTCATCTCACTTATGCAAACTACATCTATTGATTTCAAAACAATTAGATGATAAAAGTAGTCTGTAGAGTGTTCACAAGACGAACGGACGGGGGCGACGGCGCTATCCGACTACATAATTGGAAATAATGCTTAATGGTTGTTGTCCATAGCGGGGGAACTTCTTGCCGATGTGTTTCCTTAAACATGTCATATCGGGAAAAACTATTCCACACATCCGTGACGGTAACACCTTCCCTTTCTTGGCTCATATGCAAACAAAACAATCTCTACTTCAATGTATTTTGTGTACATTTTATATCAAGGATACAATTATCGACGTACTTTCTGACATGTAAGACAAGGTGGCACGATTGCATCAGAATTAAGTTTTTTGTGATTTTTTTCTGGGTTCAGATAGTTATATAATAGGCGGAAAAACCCGTTTGGTATTTCGAATACGCCTGTCCCTTATCTGAGTATAATGATGTTGTTTTATGACAAGTCGATATCATCGATTCATTCAATATGCATGCCCACAATGCTAGAATAAAAACAAAATAATCTTAACAAAGATGATTACCTGTACCATTGCGGTGTAATAAAACTATAAAACAGTCACGTTGTAGGTACACGATGTATAGTTTAAAAATCCACCTAAACCGACGTTTTACACTAATTCTATATTATTCTAAAAGAAACATTTAATTTTGAAAATTGATATCATTAACCATATTCG